AAGGATTATTTTTTATAATCAATTAAAAAAATATTTTTTTTATTTGTCACATAAAAAATGTGATATTTTTCACAATGGCAATAGTAGTAGAACAAAAATATGTACTTCTTTGAAATTTTTTTAATAAAAAATCTGTCGTTTTTCATAATTTTTATTTGCTTCAAAGTGTGGGGTCTTTTGGCTCTTATGTCAGAAGTGCCCAGTTATAAGTTTTTTTTATATAGAGTACCTACGAAGATATTCTACTTTTTTATTTTAGACAAATTTTACAGAGAAATGACAGAATGTATCTCAAAAAATATATGCTTTTTATATAATAATAATAAAATGTAATCAATTAAATTATAAAGTTAAATTAATTTATCCTAATTAGAAGAACCTGTATTGTAATATAGCACAAAAAATAAAATTGCATTACTTTTTTTGTGTTAGAAGACTTAAGGTAGATATCAGTTAGTAGTTTTTGTAAAAAGAAAGCAATTGCAATTGTTTGTTTTCTAGAATTAGGGTGAGGAAAAAATATAAATTTGTGTCACTACCGACACTTTTGATTTAAAAATTTAGAGCTTTAGCAATTATTCAGTGCTTTTTAACATTTTTTTTTTTAAATAAAAGCTTAGTTTTTTTAAGTTTCAAATTTTTTGCACTATGTGCACAATTTCAGGTAGGTAGGTATTAATTATATGAACAACGAACGGTAAATATGTAAAATTCTAAGTCAATCTCACAGGTTTAATCGACAAAATCCACCGAATTTAAAATGATTTTGTTGAAGTAAGGGTCACCTGTTTATTGTGCAAGACAAAATAATACATTTTCAACTGAGAATTTTTTTAATTAAATTATGCTAATTAACGTTTTTTGAGTTTTCTTTTAGCACATCACTAAATAACATGATTTATAAGAAGTGTTTTAGTGATGAAATTTATTGGTTATTATGAAGTAAATCATAATAGAAATTTTAAATATACAGTATGTTTCCGGATTGAGTTTACAAGAGGAAAAAAAAATTATCTTTGATTTTAGGCGAAAACTGCAAAGGAAAAACATTTTTTTGCTTTACCTGAAACGAGCAAATCTGTAATTAAAACTTTATTATTCTAACTCAGTAGAAAGAAAAGTTAATCTTTCTCTTGATTTTGGACTTCACAAGTTAAATAACAAAAATGTTTGTGAAAAACAATTTTCTTACCTAAATAGTAACTGAAAGAAACAGCGTTAGGATAAAAAAGTCATTTTTAACAAGAACTATCATTATTTAATTAATAAATTATTTGTCAAAGTGATATATAGTTGTCAAATAAATAAAACCGCCAATGTGATATTAGGACTTAAAAAGCAGAGAAAAATTATTCCAAAAAGCCCAAAATCATAAGAAAAATTAAATTTTCTTTTCACTGAATCAGAATAATGAAGTTTTAATTACAGATTTGCTCGTTTTAGGTGTAGCAAAAAATGTTTTTCCTTTGCAGTTTTGGTGTGAAATAAAAGATAAAAAAAATTTTCCTCTTGTAAACCCAATCCGGGGACATACTGTATAATTTTTCGAGTTATTTAAAGTGTAAAGTTACAAATATAAGACCTCTTATTTTTTAGAATTTTGTATTACTAAAGATTATTATTGTAAAATAGGTAAAAATCATAATGAAGCACTGAGTCTAGCTCGCTAGTTTAAACGCTATTTGCGAGTCTTTAGATAGGTATAAATGTTTCTGGATACCATTTTCATACCAGATTTTTTTTTAATCCTGAACATAGAAAAGTTAATGCATTGGAATTGCATTGCAATTACATGGGTACATACATTTTCATGTGATTTTTTTCTATAATTGATCATAGCGATAAAGTTTATGGTTCAGTTGCGAGTATTGCTAGGTAACCAGTTAGGTTACTGCTACCTAATTTGACCTGTAATTTTTAACGTGAATATAGGGACTATGTTTTAGTGTATTATGGTAGAAGAAAATTTATTCCCACTCTTCGTAATTTGGACAATACTGTAACAGTGGAAAATATTTTTCGTTCATTTTGTATAAACAAAACATGCACAGACAAATAAAGTTATTATAAAGAGTAAAAAACACCGATTAATGTAAAGTTTGAGGTAGTGAATTGATTTAACATAACAACATAACTGAAAAAGTAAATACACCTTATAAAAAAAATTTTTCATAGATAAAAAAAATACGCATGTATATGTACCGAGTAAATAAATATTTAATATAGATATTTATATAAGGTTTCAGAAGCTTCAAAAGATTTAAATATTAACTCTCTCGTTAATATTTAAAACTTTTCCATTTGCGTTCTCCCTAATCTAAAATGTATAAGACATCATTTATCCACCCCCGTAATGCGTTTTTAATGACAACTAATCCCCTTATTTTTTTCAGCAAACGGTAACTTCGCTCCTGGCATGGAACCGAAACGACAGCGTACGGCCTACACTCGCCACCAAATCCTCGAACTTGAGAAAGAGTTTCATTACAACCGCTACTTGACCCGTCGAAGACGCATCGAAATCGCCCACACATTAGTTCTTTCCGAACGACAAATCAAAATCTGGTTCCAGAACCGACGGATGAAGTGGAAGAAGGATAACAAATTGCCCAACACGAAAAATGTGAGACGAAAAACGAATCCCGCCGGAGTGACGACGACCACCAAGGGCAAAGTTCGAGCAAAGACACAGAACGCCACTCCGGCTAATAACAATGATAAACGTAAAAGTCGGGAAGTGGATGGATTGGGGGAGAATATGATGGATATGTCGCTGACGAGGCACCAGATTTCGTCCATGGGACACTCACACGCCCATCCCATGCACCACGAGATGATCCAGGAGACCATGCACATGGGGATGGGGCCGTCGCTAACCCCACTGGCATCGCCGGGGTGCGGGCCTGGACAAGGAAACCTCCAACCAACAATCAAGTCGGATTATGGACTCACGGCTTTGTAATCCGATTTTTGAGGAAATTTCTTTCATTCAGTACAATTAAGTTAATGTGAATCGAAACGCCGACAATATAAGTGTGAACTGTGACTGGACAAAAGTTTTTCAGGCGATTTTATGGCTTTCATTTGACTCGAGTCAGCGTCCAAAATACTCATTGTTGTAAGTTTTTTATGTCTTTATTTGATTTTTGTACTTTGTGCCATTTAATATAAGGATTGTTTCGTTGTTACCGTATTTAATAAACTTCAAATACATGTGACTTAAGGTTGTTTATGGCACATTTTTTTACAGCACGTGTTGCTCAGGGTAAAGAGTGGACTCGTTTTCTTTAGTCGTATAATCTTTTTTTTTTTCATTTTATTGTGCATGTATTTTTGAGGTTATTAAACCAGTGTGATCCTATTAAAGTATAAAAGTTCTGTAGGTAAAAATAGCTTGTAAATATTATTATTTAGAAATAAAATGTATACTTCTATTAAAACTCATCTTTTATTAATTACCTACAAAAAAAAAGATAAGATAAAAGACTGACAGGAGAAACAACAATAATTCGATCCTAATTAGATATTTCACCGGCGTTTCTTTTTTTAACACAGATGTTGATGCAATTTATTTTCTCATTACGTGTCTGTCACAAGTTTACTACTTCTGCATATTTAAATATTTAACAAATGATATACAAGTAGATAGGTACCTTGAAACGTCATTGAAATTACCTACACACCTTCAAACACGATGCAAAAAATTAAGACACGGAGAGTTTTTTTTTATTCGTGACACGTGTTTCGACAAGCTTCGCGGCATCATCAGGGTCACAACAAAGTTGCATTTTTAAAAGTAATTCACATTATTTAAGTTCAACTGGGGTTGAATAAAAAATGAAATAAATTGATATTACTATACTAGAGTTTAAGCAAATTGAATAATTAGCCTACATACTGGACTAGTCCGAATTTTTTGATTTTTGACAAAATGCTTTTTTTGTAACAAATATAATTAAGTAAACATTTATTAAAATTTTATTTAGGTATTTAAAAAATTTTGCACAAATATTTAAATTAGGTAGAAAATAGTTATTTGTATTACAAGGAAGTTACTGTCTGAAACTTGTTGAGGACAGTAACCATCTAGAAAGGAAAAAACACTTTCCTCCAATGTAATACATACTTATATATTTTAATATTTTTTTTCTCCAGAAAAAAACTTTAAAACATTAAATCTGTAGCAGCACGAAGCACGTTTTTCAGTTTATATTTTTATTGTAATTTTGACAGATGAGAGAGGTAAAATTTTCATTTTTCTGGAAAGTAACTGCCCACTTTTTTTTGAAATTTGGGAAGAAAAACTTACTTTCTGTTAGGGTTGCAGGAAAAGTATTTTTTTTACATTTTTATATTAAAAGCACTAAAGCATTAAAAGCAGTAAAGAACACTATTTTGGATATGTAATTTATTACCTTTGAAATTATAAAGAGGTTGACAAACTAAATTTTATTACAAAAACCCTCCCTTGATCAAAGTTGCGTGACTTATTCCTTTAACGATCTATTTGCTAATCAATTTTATAGTGGCCATTTATTTACGTCTATTAGAAAAGAAAATTGAAAAGTAATTGTTGGAGGCGTTTCGTAGAAAATCTCTGGTTTTAACAATTCCCTTAGGTATTTATTGCAACCCTTTACAAGCGGTCAGTTTGGTCAATTCGCTTCAGTACTGTGCTAATTGTTGTGTGGATTTACACAGTGTTCCTGTGGGACTGGACGCCGAGCTTAAATTTGTCAACTCTTCCATGTTAAATAAGTGACAACCGTAAAATTGTTTTTGTGAAAATTTTATCACAGGGACCGACCACAAACAGTAAAAATTATTTTCTTAGAAAAGAAATTTATGAAATTGGGACAGTCGAGAGATGCTTTCATTCGATATATCAATGTCTAAAATGCGATGATTATTTGCAACATCCGCCGTGATTAGTCGTGAAACAAAATTAAAACATCGGAATTGAGAAAACCCTCGGGTCGCGCCTATTTTTTCTTTGCTGAATAAAATATTGGGTCGAGCACAAAAAACGTCTTTGTTCTCAAACATCGAACCGCCATTTTAGATTACCGCCTTGTTGTGTAAAAATAGTTCAGTGAAGCATGTTCCCCTAGATTGGCAGAGAAGAGGGTTCGCCCTACCGAAATGGCCTGTTTGGATGGGGACGCTAAGATCAGGCAAGCGGAAGGGCCAGCCGACTATTGTTGGAGCCATACGGGAGATTGATTCGCCATTTAGATTTTTAAATGAGAAAAGAAATATTTAAATTCCGCTTTTAAGGCTTCGATAGGTTTCGAATAAGATTAAATGCTTTATTAGAACAGAAACTCAATTGTCCACTTTTAATGAATGTAATTTGAACTAAGTTGCAATTAAAATCCGAACTCCGAACATAGAATATATGTAGAAATAATTGTTTCCTATAAAGAAAATTTTCTATACAAATTAAAGATGTAATTGACAATCAATGATCAAAATTTTGCAACAATCAAATAACATTTGAGAGTATCAGTCTTTAAGAATCATTTTTTTATAAACACAATAGCTTTATAAGCCAAAAGTGGTTTAATTAACAAGCAATGGTCTATATAAAAAGATGACGAAAAAATAATTTTCTTCAATTGATCTGTATTTAAACTTTTTATTATCGTTCTCTTTACTGCTGTTTTTTTCTTGAAAAATTGTCATGGTTTGGTACAGCGAAGGACAGTGAATTTCGTTCACCCAATTTTCCTGACAGATTAAAAGTGTAAATTAGTCTTTAGGTTTTCCTAACCTTGTTTCAGAATTTTGATTAACGTTTGTCATATTGACAGAATGCTCGATGCTTCTTTCTAATTTTTAACTTGGTAGTCCTTGGTATGTCCAAAAGTATAGAGACACGTCTTTGAGGCATACCTTCTTGTACCAGAGATAATTTTTATTTCATTAAACGCACTTACTGCTGGCATGTTTGAATTTGATTAAATTTGACAATACGTATTTGAATGTCAGGTATCATAACAATACAGCATAGACTACACTGAATTTTTGTAAATTGACAGAAATTGGGTGGACGAAATTCACTGTCCATCACTGTACAAGACTGATACAACTATATTTTAAATAAAAATGAAAAGAAAATAAAATAAAACTTTTTTGCACTTGTTTAGTTTTTTTAAAAATCTTTACACAAATAAAGACAACAGTTGACAAAAAACGGTTAATTATTCTTAAAATTTTTACAAAGGTACTCTTAAATAAAGTAAGTAATATCTTTGAGATAATAAAACAAATAATATCTAAGCATAGTTATGATAATACACGGTTAATAAAAACCACGCATTTTTTTCGTAAACTAACTACTTTCCAAAAAAAATAATTAGGTAATGTAGCCTAAAGTGTAATTAAAATGTGAGCGTTTATCAATAATAACAACATTTTTCGTAATTATTTTTAGTTTTCGAGTTTTCCAGAAAAAAAATTTAATAGCAAACTACTATTATAATTTTTTTTAATTAAAGACTAAAAATGCCTTCTAATTAATTAATAGTTATTTATTCGACCAGTTTGAGTGTAAATCGGACTCTTTATTTGACCGAGTGGATTTTTAAACCACGAATGTAACGAGTGGTTTACCATCCACGAGGTGGAATAAAGCGTCCGATTTACACTCAAATGAGTGGATACAACATTTTATTTTTCGAATTAGAGTCAACAAGGCTTAAACTTGGTTTAAAATCTGTTATATTTTACGTTTTGTATTGAGAAATGCCAAACAGTTGTCAAAACTTCCTTACACGGGAGAAAAACCGTAAATTTTGACAGTGTCGAAGAATAAAATTATTTATTTTGTACTCAATATTAAAGAGTGCTTTTATCAACTAATTTCAGTAGTTAAAGTAATCTTTTATCGTCTAGTGAAATAAAGAAATTTTTATCTACTGTTTATATTCAAGAAATTCTGGAAGGTGAGTACAAAATAAAACGAATTATTATACACGACGATAAAGATTGTTTATCTATTCTATTCTATTTATTCTATTCTATTAACCTTTTCACTCGTAAATAAACAATTTTTTTATCGTCTCATATAATAAATAACTATTTTTAACCAGTAGGTAGATTTTTTTAATAAATTCTTAAAGTTCGTTTTGGTCTTATCACAAAGATTCCTGCATCATGGAAGAGCTCTGATTTCCGTGCAGGTAGTTTAGGGTGGTTTGGGATAGACTAAAAATAAAAGAAAATGAGTTCTTATTGGATTTTTTTATACATCCGGAACCACCCCAAAGTTGTACCTGCACAAACACCAAGCTGTCCAACGATCAAATGCATGAAACGACAACTTCGGTTAAATTCGAAAAATCTTCATTATGAGCTCGGAACGCAATTTTATGAATTCATTTAAAAGAAAACTACTGGTTAAAAATAATTTTATTTAACTAGAACTCATTTTTTGATCATAGTGTTTAAATAAAAAAGTTTTTAACAGTAGGTTGCCATTAATTTTTTTTTTTTTTGCAAAACTCGAAAACTAAAAAAGAATTTCGAAAAATATTATTCTTGATAAATAGTCACATTTTAAATGTACTTTACGCTCCATTAATTATTTTTTTGTAAAGTAATTAGTTTACGACAAAAACGAATAGTTCCATACTTTTTATTCACTGTGTATGTATTTTACACCTAAATTATAAAAAAAATAACAATGGTTAACCCCACATGAAATAGGCATTCATTTCCTAGAAGCATTCTAACTAATCTAATTAATTGATTTTAAAATTTTAGACTTTATAGTTGACTTTAAATGTTGATATCTAAACTTAATAAAAAACATTAAGAATAAAAATGGATCATTAAAAGATCTATTAAAGAAAAAAGAAAAGAAAACAATAAAAAGTACCATTAATTATATTGTGGTGTAGGGAGTATTTAACAAAACAAAGTAAAATCCAACTTTTAATTGACTCGTCTTTAATCTTATTTCATATTTCATTAAACGAAAAGTGTCTTTATTTGTATGATTATATTTTTTTTTAAAACAAGCAATGATAGAAATTATTGAAGCTAATTATTATAGATAGACTTTAGAAATATACTTACTATAGCTATACACACTATACACTGTAATTAAAGTAATGAATAACGATCTATTAAATTGCAGCAAATACAAAAAAGATTTTTTTGTAAGCATTTGTAATTATAGGTAATAAGTAAAACAAGAAAAAACTAAATATGTTTAAAGAATACTCATAAAATAAAACTTTCTATAAATAGTAATTACTTACAGATTAATTTTTTCATTCGCTAAGAGTATTTTATTTATTTCTGCCCTTAAAAAGGTAGTACATTTTTTTGTAATTTAAAGAATAATTAAATGATTTTAAAAACCACCTAAGTAATGGTATG